GAAGGGCAGTGGCGCAGGGTACGGTGTTGGGTTCGACCTGGAGGAGTTCCTCAACCAGTCCTTTGAGTTGCCTGCCGAGTGCAGGGACAGGTACTGAGGCCGATTTTGACTCTTCTCATCTGCCTCGCTCTCGCGCTGTCTGGTCTGGTCTCCCACAGTCCGCTCACCGGCAAACACCTCTGTCTCCCTCTCTCCTGCCAGCCACAGCGACTCCGCCCCCCTGTCGGCGTCTCTGCTCTCCGATTGGCTGGAGGTGCACAAGATGAGCCCGGCGGACCTGGAATCCCTTCAGCAGGAGCTGCAGCTGGGCTCTCCCATGATCCTCTCTGACACGCCCACCCTGCCCGACCCCTGACCCCCGACCCCTGTCCCCGGAAGGGGCCGCTGTGAAACCCTGCCCTGTGCTCGGCCGCCCGGATAGGCTAGGTCCAAGCTTTAGCTTGCCTCTGACGGGCTGGGGGCTTGGGTTCGAGGGGGCAGGAGTCCTGCGAACAGGACAACGCCGACCGGTGCCCGGCGAGAAAGAGGCACCAAGCGACGATTGTGATCTTTCTTTCTCTGGCGCCCGTTTGTCACAGATTCCCTTTCACCCTGAAACGGATGTGGCCCATTTGGCCCTGTCTTCTGGGACACTAACACTCCGGTATCAGCCAGGATGTCCTATATTTCAACATGGAAATTGTTTGTCCCCTTTCGGGGGCGCCCCTCGTCACGAATCGGCCAACTTACTTTTCTTTTTCGATTTGCATGCCGGAAATCTTGCATGCGACTATTTGCGCAGTAACCACTAGGTGGCGCTCAGGTGTGTAACCCAGCATTGCCGGCCGACAACAGTTGCCGGTTTGGAAAATTAAAATGCGCTGCACGCAGCTCGCCTGACCTCTTTCAGAGCCGCTCGACTTGTATGTTAGCAAATTCCCATTTTCAAGCTAACTCAGGAGCCTGAAATCCAGGTCTTACAGTGGCTCCTTGTGCCCGGTTTAAGACTGTGGGACTTAACCATAACAATTGCTCTCCCCTACCCCCATCGCCATGTCGTATATGACATCGATCGCAAGCAGGAGTCTTTCCAGGCTTCAGCGTCCGTAAGGCAGCATGTGCCCAATCGTTGTATCGCAACGCAGAGACGTAGTCCAAGCTGTAACCAGAGGGCTGTCGAAAGAGGTTGAAATACTACCCCCCCCATCCCCCAAATGTGGTACAGTATTTCATAATAATAATAATAATGGAGGGCAACAGAGGGTCGAGGGGAGGGGGCTGGTGTTGGAGAGACAGGGAGGGT